TTACCAGCAACATCCCTGCAGGATATAATTTGACTAGAAAATGTTCGACCAAAGCATCTCTCTCTTCCAAATAAAAATCCCTGCACTAGTGTCAGACTCAAAAGGCCTAATTACGTCATATTTCCTCTCCTACGTTGTGACACTTAACTGTAATCCTATTTAACTTCCACGAGTAACCTCCAGAACAACCAGAACACTAATAAGTAGTGGCCAACCAACGGCAGTCACCAGCCAAGGACCAGAGCCGCACAACGAGCACTGCCTGCAGCTTCCTCACCAAAAACCACCAGTGTCATGAATCACTCAGTTCCTGTCCCACTAAACTTAAACGCAATCTCTACTTCCTCATCCTTTAAAACAGAAAGGATCACGGCATGCTCCATTATTAACCCGAAAGGAAACATACCCAAGACAGTTTTGTTAGGAACTCAAACCTCAGGATACTGCTCAGTAGCCACAGCTGTTGTAGAATCAGAAACCACCAACATTCCCCCAAATAAATTTTAAAAACCATTAAGCCCAAAAACGATCCACCAAAATGTATTACAATACCACAACCAGTTCCACACTCACAATCAACCCAAGGCCACCATAGCAGGTGAAAGTTTTCCAGAAAAACCTACAAAACTTTAAATAAATACAAACTATGCCATTCTTATTCTTACTTGGAATGTAAGCAGGGTTAATTACTTGAAAAATCATCATCATATTTCCACTATAGGAACACTAATGACCAACACTGAAAAATCCCACCCATTAATCAAAATTATTACAGGACATTTATTGATCTACTAGCCCCATCAAATATCTCATCAGGATAAAATTTCCATTCCCTGCTTGCTATTTGTTTAATTTTATGAACCTTTTTTTTCCTATTGAAGTATAGTTGATTTACAATGTTGTATTAGTTTCCAGTGCACAGCATAGTGATTCAGTCATACATATATATGTATATATATTCTTTTTCAGAGTCTTTTCCATTATAGTGAGGTGGGAAGCCTCATGAGAAGACCGGCAGGACCCCCAGGCAGGGCCACTAGTTTTCCACCAGCTGCGGTTCCCTGACCCAGCGGCATTATCTCGCTTTTGTGCTTCTGTAAAACAGCTTGCTTCTAAAAAAGCAGAACTTACCCTTAAGATTCTATTGGTTCCCAAAGCTCACTCCTGATTGGTCCATTTCTAACACCTACTCTACATATGGCACAAACCTAGCTTACTCCTGATTGGTCCATTTCTATCACTTCTGATTGGTCCATTTCTGTCACTTCCAATTGGTCCATTTCTAACACCTACTCTGCATATGATGTTGCAAAATGTTGCAAAGTCTTGACTGGTAGCCTATAAAAGCCTGTGTAAACTGACAAACGGGGTCCAGAGCTTGGAGTGTTAACACCTCTAGGCCTACCGGCATAATAAACCTGAGTTCTCCAACCCTCTGAGTGCTGCTTGGTCTCTCACCAGGGTCCAGGTTGCTGTAACACTGAGCTGTAACACATTTTGCTGTAAAAATAGGTTATTATAAGATATTGAATATAGTTTCCTGTGCTATACAGTAGGACCTTGTTGTTTATCTATTTTATGTGTAGCAGTTTGTGTCTGCTAATCCCAAACTCCTAATTTATCCCTCCTCCCCCTTTTCCCTTTGGTAACCATAAGTTTTGTTTTCTATGTCTGTGAATCTCTGTTTTGTAAACAAGTTCACTTGTGTCATTTATTAGATTCCACATATATGTGACATCATGTAGTGTTTGTCTTTCTCGGTCTGAATTACCTCACTCAGTATGACCAACTCCAGGTCCATCTAATTTTACACATCTTAACAGGGTTATACCTAGCAATACATTATTCATCAGATAAAATAACTGTCTTCTCATCTGTAACCCATATCTTCTGGGATGTAAACAACAGATGAATGATTTGATATTTATATACAAAAGGACCTTTCATAGTCTTGGTTTGCTTGCCTAGAATAATGAAATACTTAGGAATAAATTCAACAAAAGAAGCACAAGAATAGAGCTGAAAAAAATCACAGATCTAAGTAAAGGGAGAGAATTTCCTTCTTCATGGATTAGAAGACTCAAGTCTTTGCTAAGATGGTGATTCTCCCAAAACTGATCTATAGGTTTGATGCAATGCCTATCAAATTCCTAGCAGAACTCTTTGTAAAAATGGACAAGTTGATCCTGACATATATATGAAAATGCAAATGACACAGAAAGGCCAATACAATTTCCAAAAGGACAAAATTGGAACCCATACACTACACCATTTCAAAACTTGCTACAAAGCCGCAGTGATAAAAGACATGCTGTAGACATAAAGACTGAGACACAGATCAGGGAAATGGAATTAAGGGTCCAGAAATAAGGCCACCCATGTATGGACAACTGGCTTTTGACAAAGATGACAAGACAAGGGCAGTGATTTTTAACAAAAGATGCTGAGACAATTGGATATTCATATGTGAAAAGAAAAAAAAAACTTAGACCACACACAGAAAAATTATCTCAAAATGCACCACAGGCTTAAATATAGAAGTTAAAATTATAAACCCTCTGGAAGAAAAAATGAGAAAATATTCAAATCTTTGGTTTAGGTAAATAGTTCTTAAACACAACACCAAAAGCATGACACATAAAAGAGAAAATCGATTCACTGGACTTCATCAAAACTAGAAACTTCTGGGAGAAGGTATAGCTCAAGGGATAGAGTAAATGCTTAGCATGCACAAGTTCCTGGGTTCAATCCCCAGTACTGCCTCTAAAAGTAAATAGATAAATAAACCTAGTTAACTCTCCCCCAACTTTTTTTTAATTAGAAACTTTTGCATTTCAAAAGATACTATCAAGAAAGTGAAAAGATAAGTCACAGATTGGGAGAGACTATTTGCAAATCATATGTCTGATAGAGGGTTTGTATCCAGAATATACAGGTTTTACAGCTCAGTCATAAAACAAACAACCCAGCTGAAAAATGTTTGGAACATATGAACAAACATTTCACCAAAGACATACAAGTGACTAATAAATCCATGAAGAGACATTTAGTTATTGGTGGAGTAAAATTTACGGTTTTAAGACAGGACAAGAAAATTTAAGCATAACACACTCCCTGTCCGTATTCAGCCCTCCCTGACATGCTGTGTGCATCACACAGACCTCCTCTAAAGCAAGATTGTCTGTCTCACCACAAAGATCAATGTTCCCCTCTTCATTCTTTTCCTAATTCTGTAAGGGCCATGGTGACCTGCAGTTCCTTTCAGACGTGTACATCTGGACTGTGTGTTTTTGGTGAACTTTATATAAAATGTCAGTGTTGGCTTGATGAGCGACCCTTTGCGTGAAAATATATATAACTGTGCCTTCAACTTCTAACAAACGCAACAGTCCTCAGAGTTTTCTGAGTTACAATCTTCAGGTTGGCTGGAATAAAATTCTCTGTTTCTCCTGTAGACCAACCATTGGTTAATTTTCGCTGACATTAGCATCGTTAGTATCAGGGGAACAGATGCGAACCACAGTGAGATATCACCAGGCCTACTAGTGGACACTGGGTCAGTGTTGGGAGCAGAACTGTTTCCTCCCCAGATTCACGTGTTGAAGCCCTAACGCCCAGTAGCTCAGAATGTGACTGTGTTTGGAAATGTGGTCTTTAAAGAGATAATTAAGTTAAAATGAGGTCATATGGGTGGGCCCTGATCCATTCTGACTAGTGTCCTTATAAGAAGAGGCGATCAGGACACAGACACACAGAGGAAAGACCACTGAGACCAGGGGGAAGATGGTGTGTACAGGCCCAGGAGGGAGGCCTCAGAGGAAACCAACCTGCCGGCTCCCAAGACAGGCTCCCAGCCTCAGACTTGGGCAGAAGTAAATCCCTGTTGTTTACACCCCCTGGTCCGAAGCACTTCGTCCTGGCAGCCCTGCAAACAAATACAGATGGCTGTAATAAAAAAGGCAGACAGTGACACGTGCTGGTGAGGACATGGGAGAAGCCGGTGCCCCCGACGTGGCTGGAGGGAGTGAGAAATGGTACTGCCACTTTGGAAAAAAGTTTAACTTAAAAAGCTAAATGTAAACTACCACCCCACTCCTAGGTACCTGCGGAGAGAAAAGCAAGCCCCGGTACGAAGGCGAGAACATTCACCGACAGCAAACAAAACTGAAAACAGCCCAGAGCCCTCAGCTGAGGAGATAAAACGGGGCGTCCACACCACGGCACGCTGTTCAACAGCAAAAAGGCCCGACACAGCCGCCCCGCTTCTCCTCCACGGCTGTGAGCCCGGGTGGGGAGCCCTGACCCCGAGGGGCCAAGCCCCCACTTGGCCGCTCACTCAGCCAAGGCGACTGTGAGCCTTCTCCCGGCCAGGCTGGGCGGGCCCTGGGCCACAGCGGCCACCAAGAGTGTCAGGCTTGCCCTCGGAAGGCGGACAGCCCAGGAGCTTTAGGCCCTGAGACGTGAGGAGGAGGCCCTCTGGGTGGGTGGGTAACCCAACCCAGCTGTACCTGAACAAAGCTGCTCAAAGGGGCCAGAGGGAGAGTCTGCGCCCAGATACCCCCACAGGAGGAGCAGCAGGGGCTCAGCCGGCCGGGGGTCTGCCCCGCTGGAGCTCGGTGCTGTAAGTGTGAATGGTGTGTGTGAGATGCGTGTGTTTCTGTGAGGTGTGCGCCGTATGTGGATGTGGCGCGTGTCTAAGCGAGTGACAGACGGTGGGGCCCCCCCGGACGGGGCGCGCGTGGGAGGGGTGCGGCGGCGGCAGACGCAAGGCTCCGCTCCCCTAGCCTGCGTCTCCACGGCAACGGCAGCCTCGGTCTGGGGCTCGGCCCCGCCCCCGGCCCGCCCCAGCTGCGAAGCGTCTGGAACCGCATCCTGCCTCCGCATCCTTGTCCTGCGACCGCATCCTTGTCCTGCGACCGCATCCTGCCGCAGCTGCCCATTGGAGCCACCTGTGAGCCATTTCCACATTTTTCCTCGTGGAGCGGGGTCGAGGGGGGCCAAGTGTGTGCTGAGGTGTGCAAGTGCGTTGCGCGAGTGTGCGTGGTGCGTGTGCGGGGGCTGCAGCTATGCCGGTGTGTGTGCACAGATGTGAGAGGTGCGAGTTCGCAGATGTGCGGGATGCGTGTATGCAGATGCGTGTGCAGCAGTAGGAGAGCGGGGGTGGGAGGGCCCTGCGACTGACCCACTGGTGGCCGGCGGAGCTGGGGTCCTCCCTTGGGGGTCTTTGCTGACCCCCGCGGGGTGCTGCCCTCAGGCCTCCCGGAGGATCGGGGCCTCCGTGGGGCGAGTCTCTGCCTGGACGTCCAAGAAGGGCGGTGAGTGTCCACCTCTGCACAGACCAAACGTGCTGCCCGGCTCCCAGTCCTCAGTAGAGCCCACAGCTCGGGTCGGAGTAGGACTGACTGATGGAAAGCAGCGCCCCGCCACCCATGGTGACTGCAGCCCCTCTCCCGTGAGCCAGCTCCACCTCTGCAGGTCTGAGAGAGCCAGTGGGAGCTGGACGTCCCCGAGGTGGGGAGGGGGCCAGTTCCAGGACCGGTTCAGTTCTGCCTGAGTGGGGTGGGGAAAACAGAAGGGGACATCGGATGGATCAGAGCAGGGAAAAGCGCTGCCGGCAGCGGGAGTGGGGGGTGGGGGGGTAGGGGGTGGCGGGCGGGCGGGCGGGGTGGGGGAGGGTTGGGGAGGCTGCGCGGCAGGCGGGAGGTGGCCCAGAGGCAGGAAGAGGGCATTTCTCCAGAACTACCTGCCCCAGGCTCTAGATGCAAGGCCACAGGTGGCTGGTAGGTGGGAGCTGAAACCGGTGCAGACCTGCACCTCCCACCACCTTCCCCCTCGCCTGGGCCGCTCAGGGCTGGGCTGGCGCCAGTGGTCCACCTGCCCTTGAACCAGCAGCCAAACCCACTACCGGCCAGCAGGGCAAAGGGTGGGAGGGCACCTAGGTGGGGGTTGAGGCTGGGCTAGGAGACGGGGCTCGGGAACAGGGGCTCTGCGGGGGCTTCAGCAAAGCCTGCAGGCCCCCTGCGCTCCGCAGTCACATGCCTGCCCAAAGCGCACAGGAGGCTCGTGCCCGGCCCTGCACATGCCCGTGCCGGTGCGCACTGACGCGCACCTATGAGTGACGCAGCATCCAGGGTAGTGTGTGCGCGCGCGTGCGCGTGTGAAAGCGAGTCTGTGACGTGACCTGCAGCCGAGCTTCCTGCGGGCTTTCAACTAAGGGTCCGTACCCTCCCATCCATCCATCCATTCTGTCCATCAGCACAGCCTCACTGCTTATCCGGTGCGCCCGTCCCAATCCTCTTAGAGGAGACGTGCACCTCCCTCCAGCCCAGGAGCTCACAGCTGGTGGGGAGCAGCTGAGCCGCTGCAGAAGGCATAATTACAGCGCAGGGTGGGTGGAGAGGGCCGGTGGGAGGAGTAGAGAAGACCCCTCCAATTCCACGGAGCTCTGTGTCTGTCGTGTGAATGGGCCCAGCCAGCCTTCCCAGGGGGTCCTAATGACTCAGCGAAGGAAGGGAATGTTGGGGGGCGCTTCCCACATGCAGCCCAGCCTCTCCCCGTCATTCTGACTGGGCCCCAAAGCGCTTCTTTTCTTCAAGAAGACGTGTCATTGCCTGCCTGTCTCTGTTGCCATGGAAACCCGGGATGATGTAACATGAACGTCACGCAGAGTCAGAAGAGCTGGAGCTTACGTTTGGGTCAGACGGAACCCAGAGGCGGAGCTCCATATGCGGAGGGGCCTCCGGCGGGAGGAGGGGGAGACTTCCTCCTTCTGCCTTCCAGAGGGCGTGGCCACCAACCTGGATTGACGGGTCTACGCTCCTGTAAACTGCAGGCTTGGTTTGCTAACCTCGGGGGCGTCCGCTGCGTAAAGGTCCCCTCTCTCCCTGGGCGGCACCATTCCCGCCCCAAGGCCTGGGCACTTGCTGTCCCCACCTCGAACCGTCCTCCCCCGCAGCCCCCTGTCACCATCATACCCTCTCCATGGCCCCCTCTCGGCGCTTTTGGTCTGTTTCTTTTCCTTGCACTGGATTGCCGGACCTTTTTTTTTTTTTTTTTTTTTTTTAAATGTGCTGATGGCTCCAAATCCATCTCTGCCTCATGGAGCGTGGACGTCATACAAGCGCTGTCCGCGTGGATAATGACTGACTGATCGCCCGCCCGCCTGGGGCAGGTGCCCAGGTGACCGCGTCATCCACAGGCTGAGCCCAGGCCAGGCTCGGATCTACCTCAGGAAGAGCCCACCAGCTTGGCGGGTGGGAGTGGGGCCGCTTCGCTGGTCTCTAAGGGCCACGAGAGAGGCGCGCACATCCAGGGAAGGGCCCCAGCTCAAGACCCTAAGAGCACCTTCCTCCGCGGGCCACCAGGGAGTCCACGATGCCGGCGACCCCTTTCTCAGCCCAGGCCGGCTGCTTCCCGCCTGTCCCACAGTGGCGGACCCAAGGGGATCTCCCAGCGCCTCCCACACTCCATCCTGCGCATCTGTCTCCGCGCTGGGCAGGGGTTCTCCTTCAGCGTTCCCACCTGGCCTGCCCACACTGGGACCCACAGCAGCGCCTGGCCACTGGGGTGTCAGAGAGCGATCGCCTGTGGGGCTGGTGGGCACCGGCGCTGGTGGGGCTGTTACCAGGAGAGGTCACCCAGGACAGAAGTCTGGGGGCTCAGAGGCAGAGCAGTCTATGCAAGGTGGGTGCAGGCAGTGGTGAGGGAAGGACCGCATTTGGAGGCCAAGGCAGAAGACGCTGCCCTTGGGTTCTACCCTTCACCTCAGAGGGTCCTCACGAAGAAGGGGACAGGCGGGGCACAGCTGTCTGTTCAGCTGAACTTCGGGGTCCAGTCCTGGGGGGAAGGCGCTTGGTGCGGCTGTGCCTCTGCTACCTGACCGCTGTCCTTTTGTTGGTTTCCTTTGCTTGTTACCTTTTTTGTTGTGAATATAACTAACTCAGAAGAGGACATAAAGCAAACATGCAGCCTAATCATTTGTCATAAGTGAACCCCAGGCATCTACTATCAGGTGAAGACTGGAAACCCTGCCCCAGAGCCGCTCCTCTCCCCCAAGGGCACCACCGGGACTCTGCATACATAGGCGCATTGCCCAGATCCCCCCACCCCCAGCTCTTAAAGCAGGCTGTGTTTGCTTATTCTTGAAACTTCCTTTTGCTGGCTTCTTTTGGCAGCTCTGTTTCTGTGACTCAGGGCTGTTCTTCCATGTAGCCAGTAGTCTCTTCACTTCCACTGCTCTAAGGAACTCAGTCCCAGGAATGCCTCCTTTATGTACTCGTTCTACCCTGGAGATGCATGCTGGTGCGCAGTTCTGTGGGAGGGTGCGGCTGTCCACCTGCAGCCCACCCGCCTTCCTGCCGGTGTCCACCCAAGAGTGAGGCCAGTCACAGGTTCAACATCCTAGATAAAACATATCGACCCCCACCGTGCACAGTGTCTGCTCCCGCGCCCTCAGGGGTTCTGGTGGGCAGGTCCCCACCTGGCTCGAATGTGTCTCAAGGAGAAGAATGTAAGCACTCTTCAGAGTTCATGCCATTTGAGATCTGCTTTTGTCCGTTTTTCTCTTGGGTTAGCTGTCTTTCTTTACCAACTCGAGGCATTCTGTGTATTTTAGATAGCCGCTTTGGATTGGCTTCCTTGAGCGGCTGTAACAAATTAGTTCAACTGGTGGCTCAAAACAACAGGCACTTATTCTTCCACATCTCTGGAGGCAAGAAGTGAGAAATCCAGATGTTGAAAGGTCCATGCTCCCTCCGAGGCAGTAGGGGAGGCTCCTTCCTGTCTCTTCCCGCTCCTGATGGCCCCAGGAGTCCCTTGGCTTGCGGCTGCATCCCTTCAATAGCCGTCTCCTCCTATGTGCATCTGTGTCCAAATTTCCCCCTTCTTACAAGGACACCAGTCATTGGATCAGGGTCCACCCTAGTCCAGTATGATCTCATCTTAATTCAGTTAGATCTGCAAAGATGCTGTTTCCAAATAAGATCACATTCAGGGAGGGGTTCCCAGGGTTAGGACTTGGGCACATCTTTTGTTGAACCCACAACAAGCCCTTTCTCATTTGCAGGTTGCAAATATCTTCTCCCAGTCTTGGTTTCTATTTCCATTCTTTGAAGGCTATGTTTTGATGGGCAGAAGTTCTTAACTTTAATGTACTTCTTTCACTGACATTGCTTTTTGTGGTTAGTGCTTATTTGTCTTACTGAAGAACTCTTTCCTTCCCTGAGACCAGGAAAGTATTCTCCTGCATTATCTTCAAGATGCTTTTCCATCTTGGTTTCTCCAGCTGGAGCAGTTTTTGTGTGAGGTGTGAGGTGGGGATTAGGTCCATTGTTTGCCATGTGGACATCTATTTATAGAAAGGTGGCCACCCCTCTGCTTTGCAGCGACATCTCCATCATAAACCCGTGGTCCGTGAGTGTAGAGTGTGTCACATGGGCACACCATGCACCAACCCCACACAGCTTAGACTCCACTGCTGTGTAGCAAGCTGGACGCCTGGCAGACGAATCCTTCCTCTGGCTTTTCCAGGACTTTCTTCTGGATGAGTTTTGTGTGAAATTTGCATTATTTCCTCTTTAAGTGATTGGTAGAATTTAGGGGTGATGCTTTATGGCCTGGAGTTGTCAGAAGGTTTTAATGACAAATTCAGTTTCTTAGTGGACAAAGGACCTTTTCTTCTTTTGACTATGTTTTATGTTTTTACTTTTTCAGTTAGAAGTCATTTGCTGTGACTCTTAGTGGTCAGCCCAAAAGTGAGACTATCTTGACCTCTCCAGTGTTGGGGGAGGCTTTGGCCTCTTCCAGCCCACGAAGGCCCCTCCAGCATCCACCCTGCCCCCACTTCTGCTCTTGTCAGGTCATTCCAGGTCCCTGATGGCCCAGCCCCAAGTCCACCTTTACCACCATGCTCTGTGCAGGTAGTGCTTGGATTTACCCACCAGCATTCTCTTCCTATAGCCCTTTGTTACTTCCCCATCTCCCGCAGGGTTGCCAGATAAAACACAGGACACTCAATTAAGTTTGAATTTCAGATAGACAATAACTTTTTAGCATAAGTATGTCCTGCATTGCATATTACATGGATATATTACAAAAAGCAAAAGCACCCCTTGCTTGTCTGTAGTTCAGACTTCACCTGGTGTCCTGTATTTTTATTTGCTAAGTTTGGCCTCCTGACTCTCCAGCCTTCTCTCTGGGATTGTTTTCTCTTGGTTGGAATAGCTGCTCTTGGAATGTCCTCTAGAGGCGCCATCCCCTGCAGGGCTGTGGGGACTCGAGGGAGCCCAGTGGGCAGGAAGGGACTAGAACCCTGTGGCTGGTCTCGCCTGGTCTGTCCTAGGGAGATTGGCCTGGCTGCCCACAGCCCGTCCTGGCTCTGGCGTGAGGAGCATCAGGGTCAACCTGGGGTCCTCTCACTCCAGAGCCAGCTGGTGTGAACATCTGCTAGGTGGCCAGTGGGCAGTGACTCTGTGTCTACCTGTGGACAGGACAAGGACTACCATCCACCATGGTGAAGCTGAGCTGCAGCTTCTCGGGGAAGTCAGGCAAAGACCCTGGGGACCAGGATGGGGCTATTATGGACAGCGTCCCCCTGATCAGCCCCCTGGATGTCAGCCAGCTGCAGCCATCCTTTGCTGACCAGGTAGGTGAGCAAGAAAGGACGAAGCGGAAACAAAGGGGTACAGGAGGGGTTGGTTTAGGTGTGGCTTCTTGCAAGGTGCAGGAGAGGCTGGCCATCTGTGTGACCGGTCAGCTCCCCTGCCACCCAGAACCACCCTTTTCACCTGTAAACTGGGGTAAACCAGCCTCAGGGTGACAGTGAGAGTTCACACACTATCACACAGACAGCGCCCAGCCTGTCTGCTGTCCAGCAGGGGCTCAGCAAGCAAAACTCTCCACCCTTCCTCTGCTGGGTGCGTTCTGTCTTGGGTTGGGGACTGAGATGGGGTCCTTGGGCAAGTGATTGGTGGAGGGGGAGCTCTCATACGGAATCTGTAAGAAGCAGAGCTCAGCTCTGACACAGCCCAGCCTGATCCCACTTGAGCCTGTAGAGTGAATGGTACCAAGAGTTGTCCCAGCTGGAGGCCCCATCGGTCAGCTATGACTGGGGACCATGGGAATACTTTCCAGGCATTGCTCCTGTGGCCAAGGGCAGTTCTCCAGCAATCTGTGTGGGCTTCAGCTGAGTCTGCTATGGTTCTGGACCTAGTTCTCAAAGGACACTGTGGGAAGGCTCAGTCCTTGCCCCTCAGTGGGAGACATGAGGCACAGGACTGCACCTGCCTGTGGCCTTTGTGGTGGGGCCTCAGACTCTGGGAGTCAGAGGAGAAAACGGGGTGGGCTTTCTAAGAAACCCAAGCTACAGAGCCACTGAAGGGGAAGCTCCTGGCAGGGAGAGCTAGCACCCTCAGAGTCAAAGGCAGCCAGCAGACTGAGGGGCTGTTTCCATGGTCTGGCCAGGACGTGGGCTGCCATGGCCCCAGCAGACTTCCAGTGTCCACCTTCCCTAGGCCTCAGCCGGCAGCCCCTGGAACCCTGCCACTCACCAGTCCTGGCAGATGGCCAGCACCCACACCACTGTGGGCAGCAGACCCCTTGTCCCCTTCTCTCCCAGCCCTCCCAGTTCAGGGCCTCTGGGGTCATCTCTTTCCACAGGTGGTCATTAAGACACAGACGGAATACCAGCTGTCCTCCCCGGACCAGTCGAAGAAGTTCTCCGATCTGGAGGCCCAGAAACTGAGCGGCAGCCACTCGGGCCATGGGCGCAGGGTACCCAACCCTCCTGTCAGTTCCGTGGGGAGTTAGGGCAGGGCGGTGGAGAGGCACCTACAGGTCCTGGGCACCCAGGCTCTGGGCTGGGTCAGCTGGGCCCTTGGTCAGGGCCCTGCTCTCAGGGGGAGAGTGTCACAGGGAATCACCCCATTCAGGGGTGGGGTGCAGGGCTGGGCAGCGCCAGGCTAAGCCCCAGCCTCCCTGTCGCTGTAAAGTGGGGTGAGAGCAGCAGCTGCCCTCGGAGGATCGCTGTCTGGGTGGTGCTGGCTCGTGCCCTGTACCCTCTCCCAGGTGGGTCCTTGTCTCTTCCTTGGTGACTCCTGGGTTTCCTGCATACAATAGGCACTTTTTCTGTAAGGTGTCAGGCAAACGTTTTTCCCCTTCCTTTTCCAGCTCTTAACCTTACTAATGACGGCTCTTTATCATTTTTAGTGTACTATTTCTGAAACCTTCGTTTTTCAGTAGTTAATCTGCCCTTTCCCCCTTTCTCCATCACTTCCGAGAGGCCAGCGAGCACGGGGCTGTGTGGTCCTTGCAGGGCCCTGCTGCAGCCTCACATCCCCCTACCTGGGCTCTCCCCTCCACACCTCCCCACCCGCCAGGTGTCCACGGGGAGGATGCTGGCATTTACCCTGGCGCTCCTGGCCTGCGTCGTGATCATGTACAAGGCTGTCTGGTACGACCAGTTCAGCTGCCCCGACGGCTTCCTGCTTCGGGTAAGGACGGCAGCCTGGGCACCGGGGCTGGGAAGGGGCAGTCAGGCCCCCCTGCTCTCTGATGGCCTCCAGGCAGAGTACCAGGGAGGGTCTTGAGCGGGTGTCCTGAGGAAGCCTGGGTGACAGGTGCCTCCGCTCCCCTCCCCCGCACCGCCAACCCCTCCTCGGGGTGGAGGGGACAGGCGTTTCCCGTCTGTGGGACTGTGACCTCCCAGGTATATTCGAGTCCTATCTTTAGAAAAATGAAAAGAAAAGGTGTTTTAGCTGGAGGTTTTGTCTTCCTGTGATTTAAAAAGTGGAGCCTAAGGAAGGGGGTGCCGCGGGGGTGAAGGTGCGGGCCCCACCACAGGCCGCACGGTTCTCCCCGCGGGGCCGGCCTTTTCCTCCCTGCCTGGCACGCGGCGGGCTTCTAGGCCGCAGGACATAATTTTCTATATGTGTGACAGGTATTTTCCCCATTCTTTTTTTTTCTCGACTTTGCTTATGATGACTTTTAAAAAATCATTTTCAGTGTAATTTTTTTAAGCTTCTAAGTTCCCAGTAGCTAAACCCCCGCCTTTCCCGTGGTTTCCGAGGTGGAAGCGCTCGACCACACGTGCCCAGAGGCCCGTAGGCTGTATTTCCCAGGGGTCCTTTGGGCTGTTAACCTCGGGCACTCACTGGGATCCCTCGGAAGTCTGCGGGCTAGGGGCGGGCTGCCTGCATTCGCCGAGCCCCCTTCCCTTCACCCCGGAAGAGGCCACGACCACCCGTGTCTGACAAGGGCTGGCTCTTCCTGGGGCTTTGAGTTCTGAATTGGAGGCTGACCTCTGGTGGCTTGAAATTATGGCAGAAACAAATGGATTTAAGGGCACTGTCTACAGTACTACTGAACTGCTCAAAAGCAGAAGGGACAGGAAGGCCCCGAGGTGACCGCTCTCCCGCGTGTGGCCCTCGCACATGGCTCCTGCGTCGTGTCCGATGTCACTGAGGACAACACCCCGCTTTGCACACCCGGGCCCATGGGCGCGGCCGCCTCCCCCATCCCCCCCGCGCGCCTCCCTCCCCAGTTCCCCTCTCCCCGGCTTCTCGCGGCCCCTCTTCCCTGCGCCCCGCCCCCGCCCCTGACCGGCTCACTCCCGCAGCACAAGATCTGCACCCCGCTGACTCTGGAGATGTACTACACCGAGCTGGACCCCGAGCGTCACCGCAGCATCCTGGCGGCCATTGGGGCCTACCCAATGGGCCGCAAGCACGGCACGGAGACGCCGTGGGTTGGGGGCTACCGCGCCTTCAAGGAGACGCCCAAGGCACCCAACCGGGCGGGCGCAGCGGCCGCCGCTTCGGAGCCCTCCGGGAAGCCTTCCGCCAAGCCCTCCGCCAAGCCCTCCGCCAAGCCTTCCCTGAAGCCCTCGGAGAAGCCCTCCGCTCAGGGAGAGAAAGAGGCGGCGCAGGTGGCGGGGAGCGCGCTGCCCCCAGCCCCCCAGTGACAGCCTC